CAATCTTCCCCTCATGGTATTCACTCAGACAAGGCAATTTGGAAGAAACTGCATTTTTAAAACGTTTATTCCTCCATGGTCATCACTTTATGATCCAAAAGCTATTCCTGGGTTTGCCTGGTGTTCTCTATGAGAGCTAGCAGAGTGCCTTGAGAAAATTACAAACTTGGCACAATCTAGTTTCTTGCAGCTGCGTAGTTTCAAACTGGAACTGGCAGAATAACTGGCTCCCGCTGCATGCCTTGACTGCTGTTCTTAAAAGCTGTCATAACCTGGATAACTTCTTAACAGGGAACTCTTGCAATACTTATTATTCTGCACGGCCATCAGGTCGTCATCGTTAGTGTTGCTGCCATTCAGGAAAGTATTAATTGCATTGCTCCTTATTTGTTTCTAGGATTAGCTTCACCATTGCACCATTCAAAACAGCAAGAAAATAGGATTCATTTTTCTCCAGAAAATTTTCTCGTAGCAAAAATGACACAAACGTTAGCAACATTAACAAACTGAATAACAAGTGAACAAAATACAGTAAATAAAGGCAGCCCATTGGTACCACTGTGTTACACTGCAAGCATTCACACGTCTTGGCAAGAAAGCAGCTATTCAGAGTACCACAGTTTACTTCACACAACCTTGGAGGCCAGAATAGTATTTGTATTCATTCATTCATTCATTCATTCATTCATTCTTTCTTTCTTTCTTTCTTTCTTTCTTTCTTTCTTTCTTTCTTTCTTTCTTTCTTTCTTTCTTTCTTTCTCCATAAAAAGAACCAAAAGTGTTTAATAAAGAACTGTGCTCTAACGGATTTTAATCCCCACTTCATCCATAAGGATGCAATGTGAACAGTAAGGGCATGTAGCCTCGCCCCCTCTAATCACCCAGATGTGAACATAATAGCTGTCAAAAGAAGATCTGCAACTATTCTAACCTCAAACAAGGAAAATCAAACATTTCTGGGGGAAAGGGATCATGTTTCCCAAATCCCACCCATTCCTATGGGATCAAGCTGGCAAGATGAGGAGGACTAATAAAAGAAGATTTGCCACATAAAACATAACAAGAAAAACAACAGTTTTGAAAATTTTATATAGGTATATATATGAATATACTGTATATTATTTATATACGGTAATATTACAAACAATAAATCATATATTAACACTAAAAACCAAAATTCAAAAACCATTTAAAAACATTTAAAAATCTGTAAGATTAATAAACACACATTCGTGAGACACTTACTATTAAAAAGTCTGCCTCAAAAGGAAGGTCTTTGCCTGACAATGGAAAGACACGAGGGAGAGGGCCAACCTGGCTTCTTGGGGGCAGTGCCTTCCAAAGCCTGGGAGCAGCCACTGAGAAGGCCCTCTCTCGTGCTCTCACCAAATGATCTTTGGGAAAGTAGTGGAATTGAGAAAAGGACCTCCCCAGAAGATCTTAAAAGCAAAGAAGGCTAATATGGGATGATATGACCCTTCAAAGAGCCTGGACCTTAAGACTTCATAGGTTATAACTAGTTACGGCTCTGCTCTACCCCCACCCCAAGCTAAATCCAGGGCTCAGCTGTCTTAAGTACAAAAACTTCATAGGATGCCACAAATCCTCTGCCTTACTTTTAGGAAATATTATTTCTCCTGGTCTACATGTGTGGCAAAGGGACGTAGTGGCGCTGCGGTTTAAACCGCTGAAGCCTCTGTGCTGCAAGGTCAGAAGACCTGCAATTGTAAGATCGAATCCACGCGACGGAGTCCCAGCTCCCACCAACCTAGTGGTTCGAAAGATAAATAGGTACCACCTCAGTGGGAAAGTAAACGGCATTCCGTGTCTAGTTACGCTGGCCACGTGACCACAGAGGATTGTCTGCGGACAAACGCTAGCTCTATGGGTTGGAAACAGAGATGAGCACCGCCGCCTAGAGTCGGACACGACTGGACAAATTGTCAAGGGGAAACTTTACCTTACAGTATGTGGCAGACTGGTAAGGAAAAGGGGCTGAAATTCTGAGGACGTTGGAGGGCCTCTACAGTTCCAAACTGCAAACTGCACTTTTTTTAAAAATGCTTCTCTGCATGGAAACCTCTCTGAAAACGTGCACAACACAGACTGAGCCGAAGCAACCGTTCCTCTCCCCCCCGCCCTCTCTCTCTCTGTCTGTCTCTCTGTGTCCAAAGAAGACAAAACATGTGAAAACCACATCTGCTCTCCTGTTTGCAGGTATAAGTGATCCTGTGTATTCTTACCACTGCAGAGTTCACCTCTTCACCCGGGTATGTAAATGAACATAATGAGTTTCATCAATGTCCAAAGACTGTTTATGAAATAACAACTGTTATCAGTCCATTTGGAGGCTATTATTTTCTGCACATCCACCACCATGATTTTCACACACTGAGTCGAACAGCAGCTTTGCTGTTTGATATTTCAGCTGTGCTCTTTGTCTATGACTAATTTTTAATTTTACAAGACGACTTGCAAGTAGCAGCTGTTCACATGGGCACAATTCATACATGACACATTACGTATGAGGTAAGCAGGGGCGTTTTGTTTTCTTTTGTTTTAAAGGCAGAAATGTAACAGCGTAGCCTTCAGAAGTATCTCTGACCAATTTGGATTCTTCTTACAGCAGCGTATTAGAATAGTTCCCTTGCAATACGAGCGGGAAAGTCAACTTCACCTTGAAACTGCACTTTTTCCTTTTTTCTTTTTTTTTTTTTAAGTTTTACCTTAAGGATTTTGGTTTCCTAATAACACATTTGCTGTGTCTGGGTATGCATATACATTTTAATGACTTATGAATCATGACATTTAATTTTCTTCATCAACATTAGTAGGTATTTATTTACAATAATGGTTTACAGCTTATCTAGCACCAGGCAAATTTCATATTACAAAATGATTGCTGAGCAGAAGCAGGATGTTCATTTGCATTTAAATTCACTCTGAAAACAGTGAAATCCTGCCACCCTCTGGACAGCCACCAAATCAAGAGAGGGCTATGGCACCCAAGCCCCACTGTTGTATTGGGGGGGGGGGGGAGGAAGCCTCTCCCTGTGAATATTAAGTGGCAAGCTTTATACAAACAATGGCTGGTAATAGTTTAGCCCGAAACAAAGCAATCAAAATCATATTTGCAAACAAATTGTAATGTCTTTGCTATTTTGTTGCCTTGATATGACACCACTATCATTTTATTATTCACATCTGATTTTCCTCAAACAAAACAAAACAAAGCATGAGGATGTTCCTCTTAAAAGTTTGTTTCCTGATTAACAAACACTGGTGGATAATTGCTGCTATTAGCACTTAATTAATTTATGTATTTATTTATTTTATATCCCGCCCATCTAGACAAAAGTCTACTCTGGGAGGCTAACACATTTTTTCTTGTAAATGTCACTCAGTTACAACAAATTCATAAAAACAATAGAAATATAAAATAACAGCAACAACACAATATTGTACAAGATGGCAAAGTAAACTTTGCAGTGACAGGAGGGAAGGCTTGCCTACAGAGCCAGGTCTTGAGCTTGCTCTTAAAAACACCCAGCGAGGGAGCCAGGCAAATTTCTGGGGGTAAATTGTTCCAGAGACGAGGGGCCACTGCCGAGAAGGCATGGTTTCTTGTTCTTTCTCTCCAAGCCTCCCTCAGCATCAGGCTGCTCAGCCGCCCCTCCTGGCTAGAATGAATAATACAGGTAGATCTAGGTGGAAGAAGGCATTCCGCCAGATATTGAGGTCCTAAACCATTTAGAGCTTAATATATCATTGTTAATACTTTGAAATCAATGCAGGATCGGACAGGCAGCCAAGGCAGAGCAGCCAGAGATATGTTGATGTTTTCTCACTCCAGTGAGAAGTCTGGCCGCTGCATTCTGCACCATCTGTAATTTCCGCATCAACCTCAAAGGCAGCCCCACATAGAGCGCATTGCAGTAGTCTAATCGCAGGATTACAAGCGCATGGACCAGAGTGGTAAGCGACCCAGCATCAAGATAGGGACACAACTGGGCAATCTGCCAGAGATGAAAATAGGCAGAGCGGACCACTGACGCGACCTGGGTTTCCATTGTAAGCGCCAGATCCAAGCTGCGAACCTCAGTCTTTGTGGTGAGAGTCAGCCCCCACCAAAGTGAGGGAGTTTCCCAAACCACTAATGTCAGGGCCGCCCACCCTCAAGACCTCTGTCCTGTCCAGATTCAGCTCACTCCATTCTCCTGCATCCATTGCAGTACAGTCTCCAGGCAGCGCTGAAGGGATGGAACGGCATCCACTGTTGTGGGAAAAAAGATGACACGAAGCCCCACATCCCCTGATGATCTGACCCAGAGGCCTCATATAGATATTAAACAGCATTGGGGAATCCAGGAAATCTACCATTATGTGAAACTTCTATTACAGTTTAGTGCATTTAAAAGTTATGAATGATAATCCATAGGGTCCCTTCCAACTCTGCAGTTCTGAAACTATTACTATTATATTGTTATTTTTTTGTCTTGAAGCCCTCAATTTACACGGGATGTACTAATGATTGTACATAAAGATCCATGATAACTAGAGCGCTCCAATTCTACTTACAGACATCTGGACTTGCCTAATCACTGATGACTCCATATGGTGAAAAGCATCCCCATGCCAATGAAATGTTCCTAGCCTAGAGATGAGGAACATGAGGTTCTCCAGATGCTGTTGACCCACAGCTTCCATCATCTTTCACCATTAGGTTGGTAGGAAATGCATTTCAACAGCATCTGGAAGGTCACACCGTCCCTATTCTCACTAACCAATGCTGTGAAACAAGGATGAACCTCGTGAGGGGAATAAAAAACAACATCCCCATACATCTCAGTGCTCCACAGAGATCATTCTTGCTGAAGTGGGTGACAAAAAGCTTTAATCTGTTAAATGATCTCTGTAAGGCAACACACATCTTTTTGTTAAAAGCCCAGTGCTTCTGAAATGGAGTAGTTTGGGGAAGGTTATAGAAAAATGTACAATACCTTGTCTTGGCAACAGAGCCTAATGGTTGCTGAGCTTGAATGAGATCAGCCAACAGTTTCTGGAGTGCCATTTCTTTACCATGGGCCTGCCTTATAAAAGGATGTTCTAAAAGATGAGTGACAGACGGACGTTTTTCAAAGTCCTTAATTAGACACCTGCAAAACATAGTAATCAGCAATCAGGTTACCTGTACATGGATAGATATGTAGATACCATTCTGTCACAGACAACTCTTGTTACAATATTTGATTTTGGGGGGGCTCAGCCATGTTGGGTTTGGCTACAGAATGTATAATGGGCTAAATATTTGCATGTTGCACATGGGAATAAATCTGAGAAAGTGTTCGTTCATCTTAACAGTATCACTAAAATTGGTGTGTCACTATAAATAATCTGAAAAAAATCTGACCAACAAAATATACAAATTAAGAGAATTATGGCAGTATTGGGAGCCTGGGCTTGTCAATTACAACTCCTGAAACTTGTGGTCATTCGTCATATGGAATTCCAGGTGGTGAAGTCCAAAAAACCTGGTACCAGAACTGAGCACACCCACCACCACCCCCCAAAGTAATTTTTCCACACTCTGCTATAAACTCAAGGTTGGGGATCACTTCTTTAAGGTACTACAAAACAACCGCCCATTGACGTTCTCTTGTAGTGATATTTTATATTAAATAGTATAACTCTACATCTACAACTGAAAGTGTGACTGACAAGAAAGCCAAAGAACAATTAAAAGAATTATTTGAGATTATTTAATTTACTTATAATGTTGGAATGCTTCACTGCTGTACAGGGTGGGCCTCCAATCTCACTTACGTTGTGACTAAGGGCCTGTCCAGATGGGAGAATCTGGAGCTGTCTGATTTGCATTTGAAACATTCATATCTTCAGTGCGATCTATTTTATCTCTCACTTGAGCGATCCTTCTCTACGCCATGGTTTACTCGTGTGCAAGTCAACCTGGTTTACTCCTGAGTAAGGTTCACGCCATTCACTCGTAAGTTTACGCAGTTTTCTTTTGAATAAAGAGGCAGCCGCAGAGGACAGGGGCAGCAGAGGTTAAAATGTTGGGATGAAGGTCAGGGAAATGGAAGGCATGTAACACCACCCCCATTAACCCCCCCCCCATTTTCCTGCCATTCCACTCTGCTGGGGCTGCACAGCCCTGTGGGGGCAGAACGCGTGAAGTCAACATAGTCCCCTTCTCCTCCTTTTCTTGTAGATGTCACTCAGCTGACTGCAGTGGCTTTCCTTCTTGCTGTTGTTCATGAAAATAAGTGGCATATCAAAAGAGAAATGCATCAGCCTAACATAGTATTAGAATTGTGCTGCATCAGCTAGGGAAATATTTTTAAGAAGAAGATGAAAATAGAGGAGCGGGGAAGCGGGACAGCTAGACTTTCAGCTAATAAAAGTTGGCTTTAAATTAAGCAATGGGTTTAAAATTAAGCAATGGGCTTAAAAAGGTACCATAGAACACATTCTTTCCAAAATTCTTTCTAAAAATTCTTTTTTTAAAAATTACATCCATTATGTCTATTTATATTAATCTATTAAACGTGATTGAGTTCTGTCATATTACAGTATTTCAGAATCTGAAGGATGAATGCACTATTATAATTGTTCTTCAATATATCCTGTAGTTTCCCAAAGTTTAATATTAGTTCTAGTCAAAACTGAATTTGATTGAGCACACATTTTCCAGCCACTGTGTTTAAACTTGTATTTCAGCTTTGCAAACGTTCTATGAAACAAGACAAAAAACGGGAGCCACTGTATATGACCAAGCAACAAAACAAACATACTTAAAACCTGCAACAGGTGTTTCATATGAATGACATGTTGTCAGTTCAGCTGCTTCCTGTAATAACAACTTGTTATGCCATCTGTACTACATATTTCCAGAATCAGAGAAGAACAAAACATTTACCCACGTCACAACCTTTATTATTTTTAAGGAATATTAATGTGCTATTCCTAGAATAATCCACATAGAACATCTGGTAATCAGAACAACATTCATGCCCGGAAATTTTCCAAAGAAATACAGTCTAGGAAATGTTCTGTGATATTTCACAAATGACCGAGAGATGCTTACCTCCTGTTTGAACTGGAGCTTCCTGATATAAAAACTCCAGGAAGAAAATCTACCTTATATCTATCCTCCTACAGCAGAGGTTATAAATACCCCTCCCACTCTGGCATGAAAAGAAATCCATCACTCAGCTTTTATAGGTTCTAGTTGCTTTTGTTTTGTTGCCCACCGTTATTTAAAAAGTCAGTGTGACCCAATATAAAATATTATACTTGTCAGTCTCTACAAGTTTATATCTCCTCCCTGGTAGAAAAGGTACTCTAGCCTGAGAATACTAAGCACCACGGGGAAGGAAAATTGCAAGCTGTTTGAGAAAGAAAGCACTCTTGGTAATTCCCAGTAAATCTCTAAAATTAAAGGTCAGTACAAAAGAGAAATCCTTTAGAAGCAATCTAACCGTGGAATGTGAGGGCTCACTCTGCTTTGGAAACCATAAAGGAGCAAGCCATCCCTCCAGTTAAGTGCAACGTCTGCCGTTTCCCATCAATTATTTGTTCATATTATCTGAAATTCTGACAGAACCATCCCACAACCACAGGGAGGAGGTGCTTATTCGCTAATGTGGGCATACTGCTTTCAGCCAGTGATTTACACAGGAAGTGCAAAAAAAAAAATCCAACCTGCCGTTTTCACAGAATACGGCAAGGAACTTCAGAGTGGCTGGAGAGCTCAGTGGTTTAGAGGTTGGGAGTTCAATTCCCCCACTGGGCCTCCTTGACAGGGGCAAAATTATATTACAATTACAGGGTGCTGGCCTTCCTCCTGAGAAGCATTATCAGGTCAGCGGCTGGTTTGTTGTTGTTTAGTCATTTAGTCGTGTCTGACTCTTCATGACCCCATGGACTGGAGCACACCAGGACCTCCTGTCTTCTGGTAGCATTCTGATTTTTTAAGTAACTGTAAGCAACCATTTTGATTGTTTTCAGTGAGAGCAAAGAATTACTTTTGGATTTGTAATGGTAACAACAAACAGCTACCTTTGAGGATCTTTGAATGGCAAGTGTAAATAATTACTTTTTTTATGAGTTCCTTCCCAACTTCTGGAAAAAAAAACATTGTATGCTTTATTGCCTTCTGCATCCTTGCACTGGAAGACAGTGGCAGAGGGCTGAGTGAACTCCTTTCCCTGCTCTCTTGTCAACAACCTAGGATCTCTAGGAGAATGCCAACCATTAAACAGGGTATAGTGAATAATCTGCTTTCATTCACATACCTGGCCTTTCTTCCCCTGACAGCTCACATGCTTCTCACAGCCCAGGCAGGAATATCTTAAGAGCTGTGAGTGCTGGCCTTGATTAAATGAGGTATTACACCATTCCAATCCTTTCCTTAAAATGAACATAATCTGCAAAGCCTTCTTTTCAGAGAAAGGGGGCATAAGCAATATGACCAGTACCTCTGTGAGCACAGTGTTTTCATAGCACGCGTTGCAAAGCAAGGGATGGAGATCCTTAAGAATGTAACCACTTCTGCTGTTATTCTGCTTATAAAGAACTTCATCTGACGTAGATGTTCACCCTAAGCAGCACTCAGGGCAGCAGAACACTCTGGAGTGGTACTAATTGCAGGCAGAAGAGTTTCCTCCTTGATTTGATAGCCTGGGTGTAGTCATGTTTTCAGATCACTAATGCATTGAAATGGCTTGCAGCAGAAACAGTTGCTGATAACTCAGGCCTGAACTGAAGGATTATTGGTACACATTGTTGGTAGCTCCAAAGCAAACACCCACACACTTCCTTACACAATATGAATGCGGGAGAAGGTGATACTGCTTGCCAAAAGTACAATTCACAAAACAGCGTAAGAAGGACTGTGTGTGCTGTAAGGGGATGTAATGGAGTAGTCTAGAAAATGGCATGGCTGGCTGGCTGGCTGGCTGACTAGCAAAAGGAACAGCAGCACTTCATACTGCAACATTTTGCTGTAGATGCCTCTATCACTATCAGTCAGATTATCAAGCAAGAACAAAAGAAAAAGAAAATATAAAGGATGAGGAAGTGAAGTTGTCCATGAAAGCTCAGATAAAAATAATAGCAGTTAGTCTTTAAGGTGCCATAACATTTTTGTGTTCTTTATTTTTCATTTTTGTTTTTGCCTGATATGCTAGAACAGGCTAACATAGCTCCCTTTTCTAATACTGCTATCAGCCATGAGCACAATTTCCTTAGCCAGAAGATGCAGATCTTAACAAATCAGACTCTACAGTCCTGAACGGATGACAGAATTCTCCTTTAGAATCACAACTTGTGGTTCAAATGCATGATCCAAAATGGTGATCTGAAATTAATAAACTGATAATTCACCTTAATTAACACCCAAGGCATGTATGTGTGCATGTTAAATAGATTCCAGTGTGAAACAGCTGAGGAAGAATTCAAGAAATAGACCTCTGTGTTGCACAATCCAAATTTGGACAAAAGCTTTTAATCTCACTAAATTTGTTAATTAGCTCATCTATACTAGGATGTCACTACTGAAACCCCACTATTGTTTATTAATGGCCACTCAAGCTAGGGAGGCTTTGCTTCAGAAAGCAATATGAAAACATTTTAATACATCAATGCTTTAATTATTTCCACAGTATCAGCAAGATAGAAGTATTGAGAACCCCAAGTGGAGGTCACTGTGCTCATCTTGGGGTTTGTTACACTGTCAAAGGCATCCATTGGAAAAAGAAGATGGGAAAATCCCGAAGAAAGTAAAACCAGTAGCCAGTGTGGACTGGATGAAAGTTAGGAGAGCTAAAGCTGAAATCAAGCTCAGGTTTGCAGAAGAGGTTATAAATAAGGTGTTTTTCAGCAATGCTCTGAGCAAGGGGGTGTTTTTCAGCAATGCTCTGAGCAAGGGGAAGAACAAGAAAATAATAGGATGGAGAAAAGGTAATGAATGACAAACAGAAAGCAGACACACTCAACACCTCCTTGGTCTTTGTCCTCTTCCAAAAGGAGAACAATACTCTGTCTAACACAAATAAAGTAAAACAGATACAGATAGGTAAATAAATGGCTACTTTAATGAATTCAAGTCTCCAGGATCAGGTTGATGGCACTGAAG